AGACATTTAAATCTCTCTCCATCAACTGGTTTGTTTAAAATCTTGTTTCGATCATCAACTCAGCTATTTATATCTTGAGCAGTTTCAGTTCTGTCAGCATTTACCCTGCTCAACATTATTAGCACGAGAGCAAAACTCTCCGCTTCACCGTTTGCCTTTCACCTCGTCTCCATGCCTGTATGAATTAGCTGATGAGGTTAGCACAGATGAGTGACTTGGCTTGACTGAATGATGGAAGTCACACTCTTTGGCCATAAATCTAACACCATTTAATGTAAAAAAAAAATGTAGAGAAACATGATGTGGAGCTTTCCTTGTCTGGTAAATCAATTTTAAAGCCACATTCTTGCAATAGTACTCCCTTTGTTCCAGCACTGAAGTCCTGATGAGGTCGCAGTGTCATGGCTGTAGCTATAATACCATCTCACTTTTTAAACACCCTCTGCTGTGTTTTTCGTCTTGTTGTCGTATACTTTATATTGTCATCAACGGGGTAGTGCTAGCTTCAAGCAAGACTCACACACTGCTTATATATGACCTACTATCGACCATTTACTGTCCGTGGTGTATAAGAGCAGAAAGAAACCGAGCGTGTTTTCAGATGCAACTCAAGCCTTCATTCTGTGTGAAGGGGAAGTACTGTTTTTAGTTTGTTTTCTAGCAGCCTTATCTCTATTCTGTGACAAATAGTAATGGTGACAACTGAGAGGAGGGGTGTAATCAGATATCTAATGCCCTCTGGTTATCCAAACCCAGAAGCAGCTCTCTGTGGCTGCAGGCAAAACAGAGTGTGGAAAATTCCTATCGAAAACAGCACCAAAGCTAAGATGATTGATTGACTCTGAGGAGCAGACGGAGCAGATCAATCCATCATGGTGTACTCCTCCTGCTTCCATGGTATAAGACCCTATTTATTTCTGTGGCCTTTTTTGCTACAAATGGAAGAAACCCTGAGGGGTCCTCTGAAGACGGGGGTAATTGGTGTGCCCTATTGTGTATTTATAAAGACACACACTGACATTCATCATAACACAATCTCGTTTGCATTCTCATGCATCCTGTTGCCCTCTTTAATGTATTTTACATCATATTTAATGCAAAGTTGAAAACAAACTGTACACACAACACGAGCTTTATTTAGAAAGCAAAGCTGTCTCAGTTAATGCCTTGGAAAATAAAGAACAAACAATATAAGTATGTAAACAGTATAAATACCCAACCATTAGGAGTCAGCCTGAAATACTACTTGACATTAAATGGCCACGATTCGACTGATTTATGTTTGGGGTTGGACACTGTTTCTTAATGAATGACTTTAAAAACTGACTGTCAAATTGTTCATACATTTTCTCAAGAACTGATTAAGAAGTCATTACTTCAGCAAAGACTTGAATGTTTTATTTATTTTTTTACATAATAAATTCT